CTTCCCGGTTTTGGCGCCCCACCAACTGACCACTATGCCCGACCTCTCTGGAATAGCGGTGCAGTTGGCCAATGCCTTGGAGGCCAATTTCAGCCAGCACTTCCTGGATCAGCCCATGTTACTCTTCTGTTTACTTACAGGTGCTTTCACTTTGACACTTCCCGGTTTTGGCGCCCCACCAACTGACCACTATGCCCGACCTCTCTGGAATAGCGGTGCAGTTGGCCAATGCCTTGGAGGCCAATTTCAGCCAGCACTTCAATTCAATTACCTCAAAAGYTTCATGAAGTCTTATAAAGGAAGACGAAAATTCGGTCATCTCCATTTATCGGACCTCTGTCATCGTGAATTGAACTTACTAAGCACAGCAGATTATGCGCTTTTAGCTTTCTTCGAGTCTTTAAAAGAAGAAAACTTRCTGAATCAAAGTATGTTCATTGTAATGGGWGATCACGGAGCTCGCTTTGGTGAAATTAGGGAAACATATCAAGGCAAGCTGGAGGAACGRCTACCSATGCTTGCRGTMACTCTTCCCTCGTGGTTTGAAGAAAAGTTTCCTGAAAAAGTTGATAATTTTCGACATAATACAGRGATTATTTCATCTCCGTATGATCTTCATGCGACATTTGTTGATCTTATGAACTTYTCAAAGCCCTATCGTGAAGATACTGGAACAMTTGGWACCAGTTTWTTTRAGCTTCTCCCAGAAGATCGTCAGTGCATGGACGCTGGAATCACGGACCAGTGGTGCCCGTGTATTGAATGGCATAAGATTGACCATACGCATGCGCAAATTAATATGTCCGCTGAACGAATTGTTTCGTGGATGAATAACAACTTAGCAAGGCACTTCTTGTCTAAGGTTATGTGCAGAARATTACATCTAAGYAAAATACTCGATGCTGTYCAAAAAACTCCAAGACACTCAAAAGGGGTCCCTATCAATCGATGTAGCTATCAAATTCGACTAGAAACTCTCCCCGGGAAAGCTCTGTTTGAAGCTACCGTGGAYATCTTAAATACTGGGGAATATATTATATATRATGTCAGTAGGATTAACTCCTATGGCACCCAAGCACAGTGCATTGAGAGTAAAGTGCCAAGCGTCCGTAAATATTGTTACTGTATATAGATAAACTTTTTTTTCTATGTCAAGAGTTTAGAATGATAATCCAATTTAAAAATGAGATTTGAGCAAATAGTGCAATGACCACCATTTTGTACAGCAGAGCATGATGGGAGATGAACGACGACATCGCACTTTAAAAAATAATTTCCGAAGGCGTTTTAAATTAAGATATCTATGACCCACAATAGTTATTGTTTAATCAAAATAATTAAAGAAAAAAATAAACAATCTATGTAAAGAATGCCACCGTTCACAGGGATCCCATTTCTTAACTTTTTTTGCCCAGTCCTTCCTCAACTAGTTTGTCATATATATATGGTGCCATGATTTGTGCCATGGAATGCTCGCATAAACTGGTTAGCTGCCTGAGAGACACTCAAAACTCTCAATAAACAATAATAAATAATAATAATGATGATGATGATGATATTGATTATGGTAATGATGATGATGATGATGATAATAATAATAAATAACCCCTCAACGTGGCCTTATTTTTCAACCTCGTATCCAGGGCTTTCTCTTCCTCGCTATTTACAAAATGGCGGACGCTCGGGAATTGCGTCCGCCATTTTGTAAATAGCGAGGAAGAGAAAGCCCTGGGTACGAGGTTGCTTATTTTTCTTTTCAAAAATACAAGTAGTTTTTTCTTTCCTGTAAAAAATACTTTGAGATTTGGGCGAAGACTATCAGGCCTAACATCTCCAATCATGCCTTGAACTTGCTGCATAAATCTTTGCTATAAAAGCCTTAACTCATTAAAGATCTATCGGATCTCTAGGTAGCTATACTCTTTTAATAGGATTACATTTAGCACTTTTCTGGTTGTCTCTTATGTGGAGAATATATCAAAATGATTATGAGAAAACATAATAACTTAAGTAGGAAAAGTGGTCAAGTGAAGAGTTTAATCTTTCTTGTGTTTATTAGACATTTTCTCGAGGCTTTTATTCGTTTTCTTAGACTTCTAAGTGGTAAGCATTCATGATAGGTATTGAACTAGTTCGGCGAAAATTGAAAATGAACGCCTTCCAAAAAACAGTTCCTAACTTTTCAATTAGACGGTAATATCTCAGTTTCTATATATTATGGTCGTCTACCGAAGCACAAAAGAATTGAAGACGAGGCTCTGTGGAAACCATTTTTGTCTTTCCCCTGAACCTCGTTTTCACTTTTTGTGCATGGACAACAGTCACTTATAAAAAAAATTAATATCAATAATTAAAGAAGACGTTGCATTGAAGAAGCGTTTGCAATTTTGTATAAAAGAAATTTCAATTTTTTCCGCCCTACATTTATCCAGAACAACAAAAAGTTTATAATAAAAAAAAAACTAAAATATGATATAATATGATAAATAATAAATATCCAAAAAATACAACAATATGCAGAAATTATAATATTTTTTGCTCATATTTCAAATATATATAAAATATTGGTAAAATATGGGATATAGAAAGTACTACTATGTCCTAGACAACTTCCAAAAAAATATCAGCGATGACATCTCATAATTTCTGATATATAGTTTATATATAATGGCTTATAATAAAAGTATTTTTTAAACTGTTATCTTTTTACGCAACTGTTTATTTAGAAACAACGACGCAACTCACACTAGTTTACCGCTAGTTTCCACTGACTTWACATATAGATGCGTTAAACAAACGTGACTCTCTAATAGTCTTCTTCACGGTTCCCTACGCCATCTTGAAAGGTAGCCGTGCCTTTGCATCGAAGAGAGACAACCGTTGAGCGTGCAATGATAGAAACCTTCTTTCACACCTACAGACAACTATTCACAGGTATCTATCATTGCACGCTCAACGGTTGTCTCACTTCGATGCAAAGGCACGGCTACCTTTCAAGATGGCGCAGGTAACCGTGAAGGAGACTATTTGTGATTATTTCTCGGTGGTAGTATGTTTATTCAATCCTATTTTTTTTTTGTTCATTTAGTCAACCCTTTCCCCCGAAACAGTCTGTACACTCGCTGAAACTCTATTTTCAACTCCTAAAATATCAAAAAGACGATAAGACTAATGCATACTACGAAACGAGATAAAAACACAAAGATTTCACRACAATAACTCCTCACTATTTCACAATTTCTTAATGTATCATTCATTATCCAACTTTTAAGTCTGCGTCTAGCTGTGAGTCAATATACTCGGATAATTACGATATCTATAGAGAATAACTACTTTCAAGCACAAATGACGTCATACTTGTGTGACCGAAGTGTATCATGGTACTAATAGAAATTGATTTCGGATATCTTTTAAAACTAAGGTGGAAAACGTTTCTTGGCAAAATAATAATAATTTAGTACTTATATATACGCATATTACAAYGCATCAATCCTTTTTACAATGCAGAGAATTGGTCATTATTAATTCTACACACTAAAGGATCTTGAGACCATTTTGTTTACAAAATATGATAAAACACAACAAAAGTTCGCTTCATTTTGCCACTTTCATCAACCATATAATGCACTTTGACAACAAGCATTTTGCATTGCATTGCGGTCTAGATTTGGGACAAACATCTTTCGGCCATGCAGTCAAATATGGCGTCATTTGTAGCTACACAGTAATGAAACATAAATTTGAACAGGTCTTTGTATTCGAATCACTCGCTTTTAGATTGTGATCCAAAGCCTTTCCTGCGTTCTCCAAACCGGGATTGAATCCTTTGCTATCGCGCAACTCAAATCGTACGTGTAAACAGCCCTGTTTACGCCCCCATTGTTGCGGCGATGGAAAATCGCCGCGAAGTTGCAGCCAATTTTCAAGCATGTTAGAAACTCAGGCGATCGCCGCGAGAATCGCTCTGCAAAAATCGCAAGTGTAAACGTGCCTGGAACCACTGAAAATATTTTCTAATGAATAATTATAAATATATTTTTTTACGGTGAGCACTTCTCGCGTTATCACTAATCTGACTAATTATCATTATACTTAAAAACAGTGGATGAAACTCAAACGCTGATTGGCTAATCTAATGCTAGGATACCATCTCATATCCTTCGGGTAGAAAAAAAATGGCGTCTTAACATGGTGTCTAAAATTTAGCTTGAAAATAAAAACAAAATTCTCATTGCTCAAGTCTAATAAAATATAACAATTAGTACAAAAATAACAATAATTATAATAATCTCATCATAAATGACTAAAATTAAGGCCTCGTTATTGCTATCATCTTAACAMGTTCAAGATAATTATAACCTGTAATTGCTTTATTAAAAAAACCTTTTTCCAAGGAAACAAAAACCTACCTGCTACAATCTAGAGGAATTGTCAAATATAAATGTAAGATTTGTATTTAGATTCGGAACCAGCTTTTCAACAATATATACAAGACTTTTGGTGGTGTATTTAGCAAAATTTGTCTAGGAAATTGAAAAGATGAGYTCTCWTGAAGTCTCTTTATTGTATCAGCCGACATGAGCAGTTATCAAATCAACTCAGTTGACATTGATGTTTGCCTTACGTTACGTGTTCCAAGTGTATTTCCTGACACTTGCCAATGGTTATCAATAGAAAATGACGCTGTAGTGTTGGATATTGTCAGACTTTGCAAATAATTTGATAAACATCACAGTACATGTATTACATAAGCATAGTCGCGGACGTTMCGATTGATTTGGATCGAGTCTTTCACAAGATATGCCCTAATGMGCTTGTAGCAAATTTGAGTGCTTACGAAACTGACTTTTTTAGTAGGAAAATCAGTTTTTGTGGAGCGGATAGAACAGCTGACTTTATCGAAGGTGTTACGAATGTATCACTCCCCGATTTCCACTGATTCAATTTCAAAATTTTAAATCTGAACAAGCGTCGGTTGATTTTGCAACAACCCGAGGGCTTATTTCATCACAGGTAAGTAAAATACAACATTATTTTATAAAACTGGACTTAACTATTTACATTTTACACCAAAAATTATTTTTTTCATAGAAATTCTTTCCGTCCAGTTTCAAAATCAAGATTTTTAAAATTGAGGATTTTCAGCTAAAGTGAAAAATTGCGATCCAAGATTCTTAATCAAAATCCCTCATTAATGGCTTTTTCTTCGACAAAAATCGTGCTTGAACATAATTTATCTTCACTAATGACTTCCCATTCTGGTTTAAAAGCTAAAAGTAGAGAGATTCAAATGAAAACTCGAAGGATTTTAGTGCAAAAAATGTTTTGCGCATTCGCTTTTATTGTAAAATACAAAACGATATCTCTGAGAAAAATATACAGCAATCACATCTCAAATGATATTTTTTCAACAGTTGATATTGATAGGCAACAATGTGATTTTATTCAATTTTTTGTCGTCTTTTGTCCTAAAATTACTTACTTCACCTAAAATCGAATCCCATGGAAGGTTTTACCTTTTTTTCAGCCTTTGTCTTAAGAAAGAGCTTGTATTTATTCAACACTAGAAGAGGAAGCCATTACTGCGAGCTGGATAAGTAATTGAATCTGTTTCTAGACTTTTAAGTGTCTTAGTTCCGTTTTAAAAGATTTATTATAAACTCCTAGGGACGAAAYTCATGGATTCATGCGAAGCAACATTGGACTCAGCAAAATAATTACAAAATAAGGTAAAAAGTAATGATATTCATGGCTAAATTAAATCTCCTTGTCCGTTCTAATTWGCGAGGATTATTTCTGACATGCACTATTTTTGAATCACATATTTTATAGAAATATCACTGTGAAAGTAAAGAGATTAATTATCAGTCTTAAAACAGCCTAACCACGACATATTATTTTGTTTATTTACTAATTTAGTATCATACAATTTCGTAATGGATTTTTATGGTGTAATGCCAGATCGCTCGAGTTCCGGTTACCTTAATATTTTTCGAGCTATTTGTGATTGAACAGAAGAACCCGGAGCGATTTTTTTTCTTTTTTTACACAGTTTAACTTGACACAGTTCAAGCCAGAAAAGCAAATAAACTATGACAGAAGCAAAATAAAATTAACAACTTAATAAAAAAGATGCGAGATGCAGGGGTTTGAGAGTTAGAGCTTGCTTTAGCCAACCGGAGAACCTTTTTTGGGTTCGGTTCAAGCAAAAGCAACATAAACATCAATTATAAAAGAGAATCACAAAAAAATATTTATTCAGCTCGTTCTTCTTGACATTTTCTCGTGTGTTTCAAATGCCAAGCGTGCGTTTATCAGAGTATAAACCACGGCTGAGCCTTATTTATTTGATTTATTATATAGATTTTGAGCAAAACTTAGCAAAAATCCATTTTGTTGCCTTTTTCAAAAATCGCTCGCGCACAATCGTGGTTTATACTCTCATAAACCACACTTTTTTGGCCAATCAGAGCGCGCATTAGAAATCATCTATAAAATAAAAAGATTTATACCTTCAAAAGTAAAATTTGTTCGATTATAACATATTTATCAAAGACTGAACGGAAACTCTTGCGCAATAATTTGGAYTCAGTTCTAGTGATATCAAATGAAATGTTTATTATTTAGATGAGAAAGCTTTCAATATTTCAATTTTGCTATTACAGTGTATCGCCCATATCCGTCGGAAACAGTTATAAGAATTTTAAGTAATAATACTTATATTTTGAAAATTGCTATCATTTTTGTAAAAATTCGATCCAATTGTTATTAGAAAAAGCATTATTTTTTTTACTTCGATGTGGGAATTTAGGGTTTTTTTTACAGTGGAGAGTACTCAGAATGCAATATAAGGRTTTCGGATCATCAATCAATTTAAAATTATTGACTTTTTTAGGCTTTTTTTTCCAAATCAGTGGATTTCTTATCTATTTCTTCGTTTGCAACGTCACAGCGGCCATCTTGGATGAACTTTCACAAAGTGTTCCTCATTAGTATCTATTGTTTATCCCTCCAACACGGCCGCTGGTCTTTTATCTTTTGAATCTCATGGGAATGGTTGAAAACGAGCAATAATGTTATAACACAACAATTAATAAATCATTGAATTAAGCTACAAATAATTATTGAGTTTTGGGGTGAGTATTAGATCAAAGGAGAGATTAAATATCCCGGATGTTGCGCCAATATGTCCACCTAAGGTTTAATTAATTCATAATTAATTCAAAGTTAAAACATTTCAGAGATTATCAATCTTTTCGTCTGMGAGACACCAGGAATCTATGGATATGTAAAGGTATCCAATATTACGGAACATATTTGAGATTGATAATAGAGATTTTTTTGTGTGCTTAATTCTCGGCTTATTCCTCACGAGCCTCGTTTTGGCATTTTCAAATGAATTAAAGGAGCATGGGTAACCAGCATCCTTTGCGAGCTTTTGTTTGATTTTGAAAATAGAAAAAAGTCATAACATAAGCAAAAACCTACTCTTCATTATTATTTATTATCCCATTACAGTCAACTCTCGCCTTGCGGACAGCCCGCTACAACGGACACCTCGATATTCGCGGCCAGTAAAATACTGAATCCCCGGCGAAAAATACATAGAAGTGACTGAAAGTAATTCTCGTTACTACAAACTCTCGCTACTGCAATTACGGTCCCGAGGGTGTCCGCAACAACGAGAGTTGRCTGTATACTATATGAATAATGGAGATATTGATATTTGAAGTCATCTCATTTTCTGTATATGCCGGAAAAATCTACAACACAGCCACAATGGGTACCGGCGACTCTTCTGAAAGCACAGCAATTTAACGTTTTTATCTTGAAATCAAAAAACGTATAAGCAAATATATATAATTGTTAAATAATATGTAAATGAAGTAGCCATATTGGTATTCCGTCTTACCGCCGCACGTGYACAAACACGAAAGAGGGGTACTGGAAACTAATTTCACTGCGCAACCAGATACAGATCTAGATCATCACACATGATACCTCAAAAAAAAATGCGCAAAAGACGCAAAAAGCTGTCGATTTATTGTAAATCAATTAAATCCATTTGCGCCGGAGGCGTAAGAATACAATTTAAATAMAGTGTCGTTCCTAGAAGCCTATAAATTACACTCAAAACAGGCCAGTGCTTGTCAGTGGTTAATTCTTCCCTCATCAGTTGTTTACATTGGGTTTAGAGTACATCTTTCTCATCAAATTTGTATTCTGGTTGTCTTCTAAGCGGAGCTTTTGGTTTTATGAGTTGCACCACTACCCCCTTGGTTAGTCACCGTTTGTCTATAGCTTGCGATTGACAWTACGGTGAGTCATTTGAGTTCTTGTTTCTCTGATAGATTCTGAAATTTCAATTTGTTATGCATGCTACACGACGCTATAATTTCAAATCACAACAAAGCAAAACTAATGGACAATGATATTGTGAAAACGTACTTGATTTTGATCTCTAGACACGGAGAACTGACTCCTTTTACACAATTAAAAACAAGAATAAAGCTACTAAAGGGAGACAGAAAACTTAGATGACTAAATACTGGGACACTACAGAGTTTATTGTCAAATACTGCAAACCGTTGTTCCTCAATGCGTCACCGCTAAGAGTCTTTCGCAGTTCTAGTGTGCATAAGCTATCTTCGTAAGATGGATAACAATTTATTTTATAATTTTTTTTGTTGTCTAACGCATTTTACGTTGAATCCAAAAGCAATGTCAATGATGCTGTTCGGTCTTGAAATCACAAGCAGTACTGTTTTCAATAGTCAAAACTTTTGAAATTGCTGTATCGCTTAATGAACCAATCCCAATTCATTGTCSTACCTCCCTAGTTACTGTTGCTACGTCGGACAATGAAAATATTCCTTTGTTATAGAGCATGGAAAAGATACCGATTGCTGCGATATGTAGGAACTTGCCTTGTGTTATATGTCTTTTTACATTTTCAACAGGAAAAGCTAATGAATTTAGTAAAAAATATTCGATTCTGTGTTTGTTGCTCGGACAGTTTCAATTCCGCTGGAAAACTACTCATAGCTTAGTGATTATTCTATGTAAAGAAGGGATAGGTGAATTGTAATAACATTATCATTTAAGGATAAAGATACATTTTGAAAGAAAAACGAATTATACGACCAACGAAAATCACTTAACTATTCTTCTTGTATTTTAATCAATTCCCATTTTTCTAGCATTTCGATTACGTAAATTTTAGATAAAACATATTTTTATTACGTTTTTTGAGCASGTTTTGAAGAACTAATATGCTCTTAAGATGAAATAGACGTCAATTTTAAAATGCATTACTTSATAATGAATGTTAACAGTCTCGTCAAAATGGCCGYAGCTAATTAGCATATTTTTTAACCTGAGGCAAAACGACTTCTYACTAGCAAACTGTTTAAAATTTACGAAGTTCCAAACATTTAATTCTTTATTTTTTATAAATTTACAATGAGGAGAAATGTCTGGAGGTATATCCCATACTTTAGAAAAAACACATCTACTGTAATTTCAAAAATATCATATAKCTTATGAATCTTATCAATGTTTCTAGGTTTTTGCAAAGCGCCTAATCAAGATATAGTATATATTTCAGGTTTGACTTTGAAATTTAAAAAMTGGCTAAAAAACTGTGAATATGCGGAGGCCGCCATTTTGGMAAAGGRTCTTTGGATCAAGAGTACATTTAACKAAAATTTAGTTCATGGCATTACAAATACGCTAAATAAWATGAAAGCGTTATAGTAATGGAACAACTCAGGGATCTATAAATACCCTGGAGGCTTAATTTCGGCCTTGTCATCTAAAACTGARTAGATTGTTACACTGTGGAAGTTTTCCTAAGCCGACTTGTACCGAGTGAATCAAAGAAAAGCGAAAAGACAGAAACATCCGACAGAGAAAGGAAATATCAGTAGCGCTGATCCGGGAAAACGCTCGATCCGAAGAACGATATACTCTGTAAGTGCTTGCTATTTTTGTAAGCCCTAAAGGTTGGATTGAAGAGCAGTTCAATGTACAAAAATTACTCTATCTTGCAAAAATGTATTTCTTTCTGCCTTGACAATAATTTCCTTATGAGAAATCACTGGAAAAAATCACGCGCTTTAAAGGTTGTAAATTTGATGTAAATATGATGTAAGTGTCCAAAATTCTGTAAATTTAATGGAAATCGTTTACATCAAATTTACAGAATTTTGAACACTTACATCATATTTACATCAAATTTACAACTTTTAAAGCGCGCGTTTTTTCCAGTGAATCTTGCATTTGGGGTACGTAAAACAACCAATGCTGGGGCAAATCAAGACATTTTCCAGAGGGGGGGGGATTTACCGATCAAAATATATTTTAAAAAGACTAACAATATTTTTTCGAGCGTTAACTTTTCAGGATCGAGATTCCAAATGTTATGACGTGGTGTATCAATAAAACGTAATAAAAAACGGTTTTATTTTGAGTTTTCTCATTGTCGTCTTTGAACAAATTGGAAAGAGAAAATTTTTTTAACATTACAATAAGAAATCTAGAGCACCGGACTTTAAGTGAGAAAAAGAAGGGGGGAATTCCCCCTTTCCCCCCTCCCCCTGAATCCGACCCTGCAATGAGGTCGCAACGAATGCTGCCCGTGACCCCCCAGTGACTGTCTCGCTCACTCTTATTGAAATTAAATCCAAAAAAATGGAACTCATTCAGAAAAAGAACAATGCAGCGCTCATGTGAAAGAAATTTCAGTTTCCGCAGCCCTAAATCTATCCATCTGATATTTGTTCTTGGGTTAACGGCCTCCCTTTGTAAGAGTCTGAATCCGCCAAAATGAAAGGAAAGGAAAGGAAAAAAAAAATAATGATAACGCAGCTCTTACCGTTAGTGACGTCAATTATAAGCGCGGCAAAACCAAGTTCCATGCCGAACGTGACTTATAAGGAAAATGTAGAGGATTAGAAAAAGCGCCATTTCAGATAAAGACGTAATAAAATACTGTTTTAGAACATCAAGTAAAGCCGTATAT